CAGTATGTTCTTTCATGTTTCCATTTGGAGGTTCTGTGTTAGTTGGCTGCAGACCACGTATTAACTGAAGTGACAATACAGTATTGTCAATAAACATTAAACTGCAGCTTAATGTGCAGCAGAACTTAGCTCTTGGCTAAGGCTATAGTCTGCATTCTGACACCAGCATGGGTTCCAAATGCAAACTAATGTGCCAGTGACTCAGAATTTCCACTTTCTCTTTTGCTCTTCTCACAGATTAGCTTCCCGGTACTGACAGTCTTTGTTCACATGCCCTTTCCAGCAATGTTTCCAAACCAGATGCTTCACCTAAAAATAAGCTGCAAATGTCTCTCCTGCTTTTCCAAGTTTTGCAAAATACGGATTTTTTTTTTAATCTGGAAAATTTATTTTGTTATCCATAACATTTTCTGTAAATTCCAAGTTAACTTCAGGGTAATTAAAAGAAACTCTTTTCTGACAAAAGGATACTGCAGATTCTTGTGGTGGTCATGTTGGCATCATCATAACCTTTTTTTTTGTTCACTGCAAAATGAAGAGCTGCTTATAAAATGTGCATGCACCTGTCCGTCGGGGGGGGGGGGGGGGGAAGCAACATTTCTTCAGTGCTGCAAAGGCTTTTGGTAACAATTTTTCAGGTGTTGATTACTTTCATCCCTACAAGGTGAAATCCAATTTCTTTCTCTAATTCTTGTAATGTGGCCAGCCTCTTGACACATTGAAGCATTTTCACAGTATTTGAGACATCCTTTAGCTTGGGTTGTGCATGTCTTATACTAGCTAACTCCAAGCATGTCTTTTCTGAGGTTTTGTTGTTAAGCTTTTACTTTCTATCCCATCTTCTATAGTATGAGAGGAAGGGTGATGATTTCCTTGTTCCTATCCCAATGAGTTTCTCCAGAAGCATAGGCCTAATCATGCAATTCCTCTTGCCTCATTCCCCTTCCTTTTTCTCCTCTGATGCTTTCTTTCCCTCAGGGTCTTAACTCACAAACAGATTATTCTATGGAAGAGTTATCTTATCTTTGGGCTCTTTACTCTGCCCTCTCACATCTCTCTTCCCTTTTATTCCTGTCTTTCTCTCCCCTTATCTCTCTACTCTTGCCTCATAAATAGGGCCTTACCAATTCATGGTCCATTATGGTCAATTTGCTCCTCCTTCTGCACTGTTGCTGGTGACAGAACTGGCTAGCTAAAGGGGCAGTGGTTGCTGGCTGAAAGCCCCCTTCTGGAGGCTGTTGCCCGTGGAGTTGTTGCCTGTGGAGCTGACGCCTGGCCAGCAGCTGCTGCTCTCTGGCTGCCCAGTTCTGAAGGCAGCAGTGCAGAAGTAAAGGGTAGTGGTATGGTTTTGCCACCCTTATTTCTGCAGTGCAGCTGTCAGGGCATCACTTTCACAGGTGGGCATCAAGCTAACAACCACTGCTCTCCAGACACGCAGCTGTGAAGGCAACACAAAAGAGTGGAAATAGTGCAATCCATTGCCCTCCCACAGCTCCCGTTTGGGTTTGGACCCCCAATATGAAAAATGCTGGGCTCCACATGTAATCTATATACTGTAGGGTAAAAACTCCCAAAAGACAAGATTTCATAGGTGGCAGTGCAGAAATAAAGGTGGCAATACCATACTGTTCCCCTTTACTACTTTGCTGCCACCTTCAGACTTTGGCAACCAGAGAGCAGCAGCTGCTGGACATGGGTCTGCTCGACTACACATTTTTCATGGCTCAGAATTTGGTAGGGTCCTACTTTTTTAAAAGATTAAACCATTAATACTGCTAGCTACTAAATGGACTTTTTTGCATATTAATTAAAATAAAGGTTAAATTTCATTGAGCAGCAGCATGAAAATCAAAGCTACTGGTGTTAACTCTCTCTAGCCATAGGAGGCTATAGCAACATCATTTAGAGCAGAAAATAACATATTGGTAAAGGAAGGAGAGCAGCGTGTTCTAGAAGAGAGAGTATAGTACCAGGTTCTTTTAGGAGCTTTGATTGAAACAATAAACTAACAAGAGTAGAAGTAGATTTTGTTCAAAGTAGTCACAGAACTACCCTTGGCTGATTTTATCAGGGGAAACAGCTAATATGTCACAACCCCTCTCTCTTACCCTGGCTCTCCACCTCTGAACATAGAGGACTTGTAGAATGTGAATACTGCAGCTTTTGGGGGCAGAATAGAAAAGCCACTGTGTGGTAGTATGAAGAGCTTGTGCTTAATCATTTTTAATTTATCTTTAAACATTACAAAACAGCACTGAAAACCTGTTGTTAAACTGCAGCCTGCCACAGTCTGCTCTGCACCCAGCTGCCTGGAGCACTGTCTTCCAAAGTGGAGGGAGACCTCTGGTTTTGCAGTCACATCTGCTCCCTATCCTTATATATCAGCTATCCCTCACCTCTGTGTGGTTCCCCTCCTTTCCTGGTGCTTTCTCTGGGTGTGGGTGTGGGGGAGGGGATCAGCTTATTGAATTTTGAAAGCTAAAGCAACTCTCGTTTCTGTTCTCACATTATCCGGGGACATCATCTTTCAAGCCAGTGCTTTATTTGTGAAAGAGATGGTAAAACACAGTCAACATGCAAGAAGCACTTCTGGTACTACCGGTACTCTGGCAGATGGACTGCATTTGAATGATTGCATGAAAGTGATGTGACACAAATGTTACCAGATGGCATATAAATAGAAGGTCTTATCCAACTTCCATGAAGTCAGTGGGAATTGGATCAGCCTAGAAGGAAAGGGAATAAAGCCTTATCTTTGAAAAGACACCGAAGACACTAGATAATACAAGTAACAATACAGGCAGTCCCTGAGTTACGCGGATCCGACTTATGTCGGATCCGCAGTTACGAACGGGGATTTCCTCGCCCCGGAGGACTGGAGCGGCGGGACGCCTGGTCCCGCTGCCCGCCTTCTCCGGGGCGAGAAAAGCTGCTCCCCGTCTCCCTGGTCTGCTGGGGGGGGACGCAGCTAGTGCTGCGGGGAGGCAGCTGGTCTGCAGGTGGGGCGCTGCCGGTTGGTCCCGCAGCACCGCTCCTTGGCGCTACTGGACCAACCCGGCAGCACCCCAGCTGCTCTGCCCCAGGAGTCCTGATTCAGCCGCTGCTGGTCAC